CTGTAGTTTTTCAAAAATTACATGTTTTGCAAGAGTTTGCTTGCAATATTCTTATATTTAAACATACATGTAATGGGCTTTTACTCAGGTGATTTTTTAATATACTTCCTATTTGTATTTATTTTTAACGTATTGCATTACAATGATAACCCATTGATACACTAATGTAAACGAGTGCAAACCGGTTTCAGTTGCGTAAAAGCAAGAAAGCTGTATAGTATCTCCTGATAATTAAGATTATACTTAGAATCTTATAATGTGTCTAATAATTTGGCTAAGTAAGGGACTGTATATATACACACATATATTTATTACATAAATGTTAATTTTGCAGTGGAAACTCTCTGTTTGCGGTTCCTGCTAATCAAGAGTTTGTCTACATATTCTCCACAAAGCGATATCTCTCAGATTTTATTGGATTCTTTTTGTCTCAAATAAGGTTCCACTGCCAAATGGCTAAAGACTTGGGTATGACTTTCATTTAATTTCGCTTATTAAACTTCTTTTTTTACAGAACAAATGTCTTCAAAGTCAACCTCATTTACAATAATTATTTCTTATTATCTCTTGCAACATTAAACTTTTTTTAACTCTTGACTATACATGTTTTATAAAAGTAAAGGGTAAATCACCTAGAAAAAGTGAAATGCCTCATTGCTGAAGAAAACAACAGCATTTGCTATAGATTATTATTAAAAAATGTTTTGTTATTTTTGCAATTTCTTAATTTTACAACAAATTTTTTTTTTTTTAAATGCAATTGTAAAAGTTTTTTTGTTGTAAAAAAACTTCTCTCATGAATTATTCTTCTTCTTGTTCTGTGTTTTACTACAAATTTCATATTTAAATTGCAATATAATATTTATTTCTGTTCGGTATTTTTTTCATTGGTAAAAAAAAAGGAGACTACTAATTTTTGTTTATAAAATAATTATGTAATTAATTCAAGATTTATTTTCTGGCTTACTTTTTTCCTTGAAGACCACCTATTCTAATCCTAGGAGACCCTATAGTTTGTCTAAAGTAAGAACTCCCCTAGCTCATTTGTCTAGACCCGTGGCAGTGACTATGGTAACGAGGTATAACTATTTGAAGTAGTCATTATTTAGGACAGGTTTCGGCTCTGGTCAGTGGGAGAAAGGGAAACTTTTTTTTCCGGTCTACTGCCCCGTGACAGAAACATGGCGACATTGTCGCAGAACGTTACAGAGCTCTTGCAGAAAGATTTTTCTTTTAAAAAGGACAAATTTTGAGTTTTCTCGTAAATTTGTCTCGTGAATTCCACGTAATGTTTGAATCATACATTTAGATAATCACTTTTTGACGTGCTCAATTCAAGCAGATAGTATCGTAAAACAATGTAATGTTTTGATTGAAGTTTCGGTAGTTATTGATTTTCTCATGGTTTGAAACAATCTGAAATTTTTCATATTGTTTAATATTTCAAACAATATGAAAAATTTTAATCGTGTATTTGAGTATTTACTTTTTAAGGCAGTAATACTATTGAATTCTTAGCAGTTATTGCTATTGATTTTCTCCATAGATTTTAAATCCGATATTTTATGTACGATATTATTTATTACAACCTGATCTCGAAACGAAACACGGATTTGAGGAGTCCGATTCGAGTGAGTTCGTCGTTGATCTGTTTTTCGTCAACGGATTTCATGATTTTAATTAATTTTTTATTGTGATTATTATTTACAAAATGCGACAAGGAAAATAATTAGTGTCCCCCCCCCATCCAAAAAATGCAAGAATATCACCATATTAGAATAAAAAATTATTACATGTTCAATTAAAAAATATAATAGTTTTTCTTTTTTTGTAAACACAGCATTTATTATTTTAAATTAGTAAGGTATATATGTTTGTTATTATTAAAAGTATCTTGCAGAAAGGCACTAATGGTAGGGAGTTTTGTCGCAGATAGCTTGAAAAATTTCTGCCACAAGGGTTAATTGTGTTATTCTTAGAGTGAAGAGAAGTTACCCGCCCTGAAATGCGCCTGTCTTGTTTCTATAGCAGCAGACTTTGTGGCGGGGGAGTTCTTAAGGTAGACAAAATGTNATTTTGAATCATGTATTTGAGTATTTGATTTTTAAGGCAGTAATACTATTGAATTTTTAGCAGTTATTGCTATTGATTTTCTCCATAGATTTTAAATCCGATATTTTATGTACGATATTATTTATTGCAACCTAATCTTGAAACGAAACACGGATTTGAGGAGATCGATTCGAGTGAGTTCGTCATTGATCTTTTTTACGGCAACGGATTTCATGATTTTAATTAATTTTTTTATTGTGATTATTATTTACAAAATGCGACAAGGAAAATAATTAGTGTCCCCCCCCATCCAAAAAATGTAAGAATATCACCATATTAGAATAAAAAATTATTACATGTTCAATTAAAAAATATAATAGTTTTTCTTTTTTTGAAAACACAGCACTTTTATTATTTTAAATTAGTAAGGTATATATGTTTGTTATTATTAAAAGTATCTTGCAGAAAGGTACTAATGGTAGGGAGTTTTGTCGCAGATAGCTTGAAAAAATTCTGCCACAAGGGTTAATTGTGTTATTCTTAGAGTGAAGAGAAGTTACCCGCCTGAAATGCGCCCGTCTTGTTTCTATAGCAGCAGACTTTGTGGCGGGGGAGTTCTTAAGGTAGACAAAATGTAGGCATAATCTATGGTCAAAAGAAATTTAAAATATATGGTTTACTTACCATCACATAGAATTTCAAGTGCACTTTTATTTAAAAATCAGAATCTCCTGTATAGTCATAACCTTTAAAATTTTTCTATTCATCAATCATATTTTTCTTGTTTTAAAATTGCTAAAGGCCAAAGATCAAATTGTTCTAATTTCATGACGTCATTCTCATAAAGCAATATTTCAAAATCTAAAAAAACATATATTACACATTAAAAAACAAACACTATAAAAGGAACATTTATCGCTATTTATGTCTACAAACAGCAATTTGGTTAAAACAGACCCATTACTTATGCTTGAAAGAGAAAGTAAAAAAAAAAAAGTCATATTTCTAACCTATCTTGAAACTTTCATCCAGACAGAATCATGCAATGACCTCTGATAGTAAGGTAGAACATATAAAAAGTTAAAATTATTTTCCAAAAGAGAGGTCAAATATTATGAGACTGAAAAATAGTGGTCATTTTATTAATATTTAAATTAAGAAAAATTCCCTTAATTCGGAAAAATCACTTGAAAATTTTGCATTGAATTAAGTAAAATTATTATGTAATTAAGTGTAAATAAAACTTTGAAATATTAAAAAGAAAAGATGTATATAAGTGAGTGATTGTGTTGTGACATCTGTTATTAATGTGCTATGACATATGTGTTATAATTTATATTTAATAATGTTCTAATCATAATTATATTATAAAATTTCATAATTTTAAACCTAGGCAAAAAGTCGTGAAGTCTGCTATTATTACTAAAATGATAGCATTGTAAATTTTTCATGTTTTCTGTGATACACAATTTAAAGAATGTTTTTTTGAAGGGTTTTTGCGAAGGAAAAGGAAAAGAAACCATTATTAAATTTCTAGTTACATTAAAGATATTTTTCTCAAACTTGAGGTAAAGCTTTCATTTGAAACTGTAAAATGCTTTTTTGCTGAATGGAATTTATTCGATTTTAAAATAGCAAAATATTTTTGAAAAAAATATTAAGCATTTTTATGAATTTTCTAGTTTTGTAGAACTTTTTCACCCAGAGAAAAATCTCATTAAAATCAATGAATATTTTGTAATTTTTTCGTATTTTTATGAACCTTTACAATGCAGTGATGAAGTAATTTTTGAAATATTAAATAATTAGGGCATGACAGCTTTATTTTATTTATTTATTTTTTAAAATTAAAGTTTTGGATTTTCTTCTTTTTGAAAATAGTTCTTTACTTTGAAATTTTTTAGTTTTGAAGAGAAATGTTACTAAATAATTTAGCAGATACAAACTCACAATTTTTAAGAAGTGTTATTTTATTGGAATCAGTTATAAAAGTTACATATTATTTATTAAAAATTGATGTTTCATATGAAACAGTTATAAAAGTAACACATTGTTACTAAAATATTGTTTCATATTAAACAGTTTGAAAATACCATATTATTTACTTAAACATGTTATTTTGTATAAAACAGTGGTAAAAGTAGTATGAACTAAAAAGTAATAAAACTATAAACTTATAAGTAATAAAATTATTGCTGTTTCATCTGAAACAGCAATAAAAGTGACATATTATTTGCCAAAATTTGTTGTTTCATACTTAACAGTTATAAAAGTGTATTTGAAGGTGTAGGTAAATTAATGAAAGGCATATTTTTGCAGAGCCTTTGAAAATGACAAAAAGCAATCTTACTATATTAAGAAAAACATTCTTAATATGTCATACTTGGCAATAGAAAAATTAATGTTCTTCTGATCATTAAAAGGTTTTTTGTTTTATTTTGTTGAATGTGTTTTGAATAAAACTATTATTCCAGATTTTCATTTAAAGATACTTTGTTATAAGATTGTTTTTACACCTTGCAGATATTTCTGATTCCAAGCCGAAGAGCAAATCTAATATCCTAGGAAATAATTTAAGTTTTCCGTATGTAAATGGTTTCACATTTGAGCCATTTTCAACCAATGATAACTCTGAACATAGTTTTTCCAAGTTTCTGTTTCAACACATAAATCTAGCCTTGACAAAGGGATTCGATGATAATGTTGGACGATTTCCGGTTCCTGCTTATTTCGAGGTAAGTTCCTCAATACCTTCATCAAAACTCCTCTTTGTATGTATCTCATGTATTTTTTTTTTTTTTTTAAATCTTATAGCTTTTACCTAAGTTCTTGTTTATATATTTCTTTTCTGATTTTTAAATATTATCATACTCAAAGTTATTTTATTTTTTGTTTCAATTTTAAAAATTTTTTAAATGCTTTTGCTTCTGATCAGGAAAATCATTGTATCATTTTGTATTTTCTTTTATTTGAAGATGAAGGAAAAATTCGCTTGATTTAAATCATGATTAATATACCACTTTAAATCACTTGATTTTTTAAAAAAAAATCATTAATTTATATAAATTGTGATATTTAATTTTAAAAAACATCACTAACTTAAACCAATTGATTTTTTTTATTTTTAAATTATTTAATTAAGCCTAAAATATTTTTGAAAAATATATATTTAATTAATATATTTTTATATAAGTCTATAAGAATATATATTAATATATTCTTATATAAGTTATTCTTACATAGTCTGATTTCATTGAAAATATAATATTAATTGATATAGCTTGAACAAAAATAACTATGATTTTATTAAATAATAATGTTAACCAGTTATTAACTGTTTTAGCTATATTATTTTTAAATAATATTAAGTATTATTAATGCATTTTTGCATATGCTTTAATTGATATAATTGTAAAAANAACGCATATTATTCACAACGTTTATAAGCATCTTTTCTATAACTGTTAGGTACAGTGAAATGAAATAGCAGTAAGTGCCGACTGATGTGTTGAACGTGGTTAATATGTTAAATGATATGTTGAACTGATATGTCAAACTGTTAGTGCCGACTGATTGAATAGATATATTTTGCGTACATGGAGGGGATGAGATTGATGTGACAGTATCTTGAAAATAAGTAAATACTAGAAGGGCTCTAGCGATAGTCCTCTCCTGAGGCGACCCGGGTTTAATTCAGAGCGATGGTTAGTTGACATAAGTATTATTGCAACAAATATACGCACAAAAAAGCTTCATCGCTGACGTAAAATATCCCCAGTAATTGACGAATCATGGGTTAGAATCCCTTTGCCTTCGGTCAGGCTGCAGTACGTTTCCTCACGAATTGAGGTTAGTTCTACAAAAATGTCCTTCTCGAAGTCAAATTTTTCCTGATGTTTGCGTCCCGTTGCGTCTGGGTTGGGTTCAAAATTACAAGACTACGGAGTTGGATTTTGATATAGCCGTAAATTTGATGCGCATAGGCTATTCAACGCCGATAACAAAAAACAGTAACAGCTGGCTTAAAATTGTCACGAAAGTTGTTATATTTCAAAATATCGTTGATACAGAAGCAATAGTACGAGGTGGCGTGAAAACATTTAGTACAGTAAACGCAGACATAAAAAAATTCTATACTGTAAAAAACTCCTGATCAAATTACAATAAAAAGTTCCGGCACTCAGGAAATCTGATATACCGTAATTTTTACAGTTACAGTTACCGTAAAATTACTGAAACATTCTAATTAAAAAAATATTCCTATAAAAATTGCTGTATAATATTTGACGGTAAAAATGGATTTTACTGATGATGCTCAAAGAGCCGGTACTCTATATCGTTATTTGATACGGAATTTTTTTACAGTGTATGAAAAAACAATAGTTATAAAGTATTAGTGTCCTTAGTTGTCAATTGGATGTCCCTTGGGGCCGTGAACCTCTTCTTCCCTCTTTCAAGATTGTAAATTGTGTAACTTTATTACAATATTTTGAAACTATCCAAATAATTTTATTCTTAGTTTTAATTGCATTAAGGCTATTAAATGCTACGAAAATCATGATGCACTTTTTTTTTAAAATTTTAAGTCTGCAATATCAAAGGATATTGTATAGTTGTTGAGGTTGAGGATGGTTGTTGAGTTGCTACTAGTAAGAGCAATATTAAAACTTACAAAATTACCATTGCTGGAACTAGATGGTTATCTGTTTGAAATGCTGTTCTGATTGGGGTACTATTCAAGTAATATACTTCCGTCTCATTGGTTTAAGGGGAATAAGACGACGCTCGAACAAGTATTTTTAAAGATTCACACTGGGGAACAATTGAACTCAATAGTTCCCCAGTGTGATTGCATTTCAAATCTGCAATCGATTTCTCACTCTGGGGTACAGTTTCTAACGACATTTTTGGTCTATTTTTTGTTAAAATGTATAAGTTTAAAAAATGTCATAAATGTCACGTAAATGTTGCAACAAACTTCAGGATTAAAATTGCATCGGAACCAATGCCCTTAAATGTCGCCACATGCCACTAGAAGCGATTCCCTGTTATGAATTTTTTCGTAGTGTGCGTCTGAACAGGTCATAACAGCCCAAGTCGTGTACATTTACATTTACGGGTACAGGTTTTTATACAATTTTAATCCTGGTGATGTGTCCTAACTCTCTAAGAAATTTGTCATAACATTTACGTGACCCCCTTTTATACATAACGTTCTTTTTAACTAGTACAGTGTACCAAAACAAACGGACTACCATGAATAACTTTTGATCTGATGATCGGATCTTTACCTTTATGTTTAATCTTTGTGGTTCACGAGAGGGAGGAGGACCTCGAATATGCTTATTAATTAGTGCAGACGATATCTTAAGTTATGAAATCAGGCACAAAAACGTACTTTCTCTAAAAAAAGATATCTTTTTTTGACGGATTTGGATTTTTGACCCCCAAAGTTAAAGAGGTAGCCGCAATCTGGGAAAGATGGTCCCCATAGTTTGATCAGGAGAGCGAACCAAAGTTCGACCCATCTAATGCTAATTTAATTTTTTGCATGAATTAAAAATTCCATGTAAAAAATGTGCGAAATGTAAATTGCCATTTTTGAGAGAAAAGTTTTGAGGGCCATCCTTGGTGGGATAAAAATAAATAATTCCTGGAGAAGACGATATAATACTGAACTGTATAAAATCTACAGAGAGCGAGATATTGTGAAATTCATAAAAATAAATCAAATGAAATGGGCAGCTCACATTTTCAGAAGGAATGATGACTCAAATTTAAAGAAAATCCTATTAGACAAACCCCTAACGAACAGGAAAAGAGGTAGACCCAGGCTGAGATGGCTGGATTTAGTTGAGACTGATTTCCTTACTCTAAAGGAGAAAAACTGGCGAACAAGTGTTAAAAGTAGAGAGAAGTGGATTCGAATCAAAGGAAGGCACTGGCCCACCCTGGACTGTCTAGCCAAATATGTTTCATTCGTCTGTCACCTTTTATTTAAAAGTTTTTTAATTTTGAAGTCATTCAGTCTTTCACTAGACATCCTGTATTCGATTCCTTTTTTTTTAATGTTTTTTTATTATCTTTTTTATCATTTCAGAAGGTGCAATAAAGTCTTGCCCTTAGCGTCTGCTGCATACCAAGAAAACCTACCCACTCACTACACTGAGGATTATCATGAAACTAGGGTTAAAAATGATTTTAATAATTCCAAAATTGCATAACTATAAATGGAATTTTTCTCTGATTCTGTTTGTAATTTACTTTTAGCTTGCTCACGCTTTACACGTATTTAACATCCACGCAAGGGGTCCGGCCGTGCCGAGATTCGCTCAGCAGCTGATGGAAGACTGCGAAAGGCTCTGGAAGAACGGACATCAAATGTGCGAAGTTCTCAGCCTTACTGGAAATCATTGCATGAATCCAGTGAGTTTCTTTTTCATTTGTTGTTACTTCATTTTATTCAAAATATCACTGTATTTTAGTATTGTGTATGTTAACGTTATGGAAATATACACTCGACAAATGCATGGGTGATTTTATTCCAAGGGCACTCCCAAATTCTGGTTTTTTCATATTATTCTTCCGGGTTTAAAAACTAGAAGTGAGGCATGCAATTTTAGCATGAATATAGCGGTATTCTGCATAAATCAAGAGCATTGGTTTGCGTCCTTTTGTGAATCAAAAACTTTTGACCCGGTAAAAGTTGGAAGTTTTTTTTTAGATCCTGTTTGCCCGATATTTACTTTCATTCTTTCGCCAATTAGGATGACCCAGGGTAATTAACGATCACTCTGTTTCTGGGGTAAATAATGATCACCTAAGTTTTATTTAAAAAACAAATTTTTTTTAAAATTTTATACATGGACAAGAATGCTTGTACACTTTACTAAAGTGTAACTACATTTACTTAATATTAGTTTTTTGTTTAATCTAACAAAATAAGTATCTTTTAAACTGCTTTCTGTATTTTCCATTTCAAACACAGGTTTCAAAATGTGCACATTTCTGCAACACTTCTCTTAATAAATATTTTGAGTTACTTTCTTTTTCTTTGATATAAAAATAGTGTAAGCTTTTGTTTAATTGTTTCACTTTTATTGTAAACATTATAATTGATTATAGGAAACTATATCAAATGTTGCCCCCTAGAGATGGGGTAATTATTGATCACTGGGATAATTCCTGATAATTGTCGTAACTTTTTATAAATAGTATAAAAAACAGCTAATAAATAGTTAATTGTCTTTTCTTAAATAACAGTTCATATTCTTAAATAAATCGTTTTATTAGCTGCTTAAATATGCCTTTTTGGTTTATTTGTTTGATCTTGATGTCTTAGTTGTTAATTACCATTGTATAATTATTTTTAAACAGCCCCTTTGCTATAAAAACTGGTGATCAGTAATTACCCAGAAATGATCAGGAATTACCCCAGAAATGATCAAGAGAAAGGGTAATTCCTGATCACTAAAAATTTAAAATCTTTTAAATTCTAATTAAATTTTCAAACATAAGAAAGTAGCATAGGTATTTATATTCATCTTTTGTAAAAATTGGTGACCACTCCAGGTGCGATCTATGGGATATTTTAGGATATTTCAGCTAGGGATGTAATGAATATTCGGTATTCGGCCCTTTTGCCGAATATTCGGCCTAGCCGAATACTGAAGTTATTCGGCCGAATAATGAAGTATATGTTATTATTAATTATGCTGCTATTATTAATTATTTAGATTTGTGAAAGCCTTATTGTTCGCATCAAGATAATTAAAATATTACAAAAAATACATCAAGTTGTTAAATTTTTTTTTAAATATAGAAAGTTTAAAAAGGAAAATTTGTTAATATTTATTTCATGTTTAATTTAAAATTTGAAAATTATTTAATTACAAAATTAAAATTTCAAAAGCGAAACTTTTAAAAAAGTTCTTAATTTTCTGAGTTTTAATAATTTTTCTGACAAAAAAGAAAGCTAAGAATACATTTAACAGTAGTAAGTAATGAGTTATCTTAAATAAAGTAGCATATAAATTACAAGTATAACTATAACTAAAATATGCTATTATTAATTATTTAGATTTATAAAAGCCATATTGCCTTGTTATTGGCATCAAGATATTTAAATTATTACAAAAAATAAATCAAGTTGTTAAAATTTTTTTAAATATGGAAAGATTAAAAAAGCAATTTTGTTAGTATTTATTTCATTTTTAATTTAAAATTTGAAAATGACTTTAATTACAATCAAAAGAGAAATTTTTTTAAAAAAGTAAGTATTTGGCCGAATATTCGGCTATTCGGCCCCATCACTATTCGTTACATCACTAATTTCAGCTATACTAAACTATTTCATTTACTTCAGCATTATTTGTTTTAAGTATGTTGAGCTGTTCCTTTTTTCTCTAATTTTTTCCAGCACTTAATTAAAACTAGTACAGTTATCCCAATATATTTTACAGAAGATCACAGTGATTGTGTGTTTCTCCTTATAATACTGTGTATAATACACAGTAATTTTTATTACAGATTTGAGTGGCAACCCTGCTACTATAAAACTGAGATCATTTATTCTATCTTATAATAGTAATAATGGATTTACTCCTATTCAGATTCATAGAAGTGATCAAGATGATGATGATGTTGATGATAAGTCTCTTCCCGTGATGTCTCATTGCAGTCAAGTGAAAATAGTGTCAACATGTGAATGTGGAAGAAAGCAAGCCACCAGAGAGGACCCATTCGATATTAAGGTCAGTCTTTTAACTTAAGGACTAGAGAAAGCTTTTATTTAATTTAAAGGATCCTTAAAGTGATGCTTGAAAATACTAGGGATTAAAAATGTTTTCATAATTTTCTAGTCTAAAGAAAATTGAAATAATAACCTGATATAAATAATAATCTGAAAAAACAATCTTTTGTCGATCTAAATAATCTGATAGAAATAATAATCTG